GGGGCCGCGGGGCGCCGCCCAGTCGGCCGCCGAGCACCCGGGGCTCCGGGCCTGCAGCTCGCCCCCGCCCACCGCCGCCGCCTCGGGGGGGCGAGGAAGAGGAAGCGGCCAGCAGCCCCAACAGCGGCCACCTCAAGGATGGCATCCGACGCGGTAGACCCAGAGCAGATACTGTCCGGGATTTAATAAATGAAGGAGAGCATTCGTCCAGCAGAATCCGTTGTAACATCTGTAACAGGGTGTTTCCACGGGAGAAATCACTCCAGGCTCACAAAAGGACTCCTACAGTTAACTGGTTTGCAGACCATAGAGGATTTGTTGCCAGTGCAAGACTCAAGACCATGTGATATAATGAAGAGAGCCCTGAGTCCCAGTTTCAACCTGACAACCCCACTACTGTGTCCCCTGATACCCCAGGCCTCAGCCTGCTGCACTGCTACAAGAGAACTGAACCCAGGATCCCTAAGGAATATCTGAGCTCGGATAGTATGTGCTTTGTGAAATGTTTTTCTCTTACTATATTAATCTCCATGTATCTTGTGCTTTGTTAACTTGTGTTCAGCTATCACACCCAAAATAGTATGTCTCTAAGTGATGAGAAAAGTAGGAAGGACTTGTTATTGTTCTTTGAGTTATGTTGGAAAGAACAGTGTATAATTGTTGGCTAAATAAATTTTTTTCAAGAAGAAAAAAAAGAAACTGCAATAAAAGGGTCTAATTCTATGTAACATACTTCCATGGAACTCCAAGTTGATGACCAGCCTTCTTCCTCGATTTGTCACTATGTTCTTCTTCCTGGAATGAATCATCATAAAGAGAAATAAAAGTTAAGACAATGGAATGTGTCTCCCAGTCAGACTACTCAAAATCAGAAAGGCAAAGAAAATCCAGAAAAATAAAGGAAACCCAGATCCAGCAGAAGGCAAGAAGGAAGCCCAGGAAATGTTTACGCCTATACAGTTAATTGCTTGTTAATCAGTGAATTAATAAATGAAAAGCCAAGCTGGCCCTTAAAGCAACAAGTGACAGCCTAGAGACAAGAGGAAGCCAGTGTCCTCTGTGGTCTGGTTCACAGACAGAAGCTGGAAAGCCAAACAACACAGCCTGCTTCCTCAGACACTCCACCTCGCTCGATCCATACAGAAACAGAAACATAAATTAGTGCAGATGCTAGAAAAGACAACAGAGAGTTAATGTCTAACACTGACCCAAACAAGCTAAGGTTTTCGAAAAGAAGAAATCTCAGCCTTTATTTATAAACCAAGGTCTGGGGAGATATTGACACAGAATGAGGCAGGCTTGGGTGGGGCACTGCAGAGGTCAGTGCTGGCTCTGCAGCCTGCTGACTCAGGAGCTGGGGCGGGAGAGGCAGAAGGCCAGCCAGGCCAGGGCTTCAGAAGGTACTTGAAAGTAAGGTGTGACTGTAACCCACTGCCTATGCACTTTAAAAGATTGAAGGTCATCACTATGTAAATAATCCACATTTGGCTGGGCATAGTGGCTCACACCTGTAACCCCAGCTTCTGGGAGGCTGAGGTAAGAGAATCACTTGAAGTCAGGAGTCTGAGCTCAACCTGGGCAACATAGAGCAACCTCATCTCTTAAAAAAATATACACAAAAAAGAAAAATCAGGCCGGGCGCAGTGGCTCACATCTGTAATCCCAGCACTTTGGGAGGCCAAGGTGTAGGGACTCAAAAAATTAGCCGGGTGTGGCAGCGTGCGCCTGCAATTCCAGCTACTTCGAAGGTTGAGGCGGAAGGATAGCCTGAGCCCAGCAGGTCGATGCTAGAGTGACCATGAGTGTGCCACTGCACTCCAGCCTGGGCAACAGAGTGAGACTCCAACTCAAAAGACAAAAGAAAAATCAGCTAGGCATGGTAGCTCACACCTATACACATTCAGGAGGCTGAGGGGGAAGAATCACTTGAGCCCAGGAATTAAGGCTGCAGTAAGTTACAATTGCACCACTGCACTACAGCCTGGGCAACAAAGCAAGCCCCTGTCTCTAAAAAACAAATCCACATTTAGTAGAGAAAAATTATGAAAAGACAAACAGAAAGAAAAACGAAAAATGTAACTTCCCATAATCCCACTGCCCAGAGAAACACCTTTTTTCCTTATGCATATATAAAATCATTTTTACAAAAATGAAATATAGATTGTTATATAGCCTGTTTCCCAGTTTTATGATTCTTTCTATACCCAAACATATCTACATTAGTGCTCTCAATGGCTACACAATGCTCCTTTACCATAATCTGATCAGCTTCTATCAAATGTCTAGATTGCTTCCAAACTTTTTGCAAGTATTAAGTACAAACATGTCACTACCAAAAATGTTATATGTGCATCTCTATTCGCCTGATCCAAGGCTTTCTTGGGACCTGTTTCTAGGAGTGAACTCTTGAGTTGATGGAAAGACTATGACTCCACCTCCAGGTAGCCCCTGGCACAACACTGCTCTGTAGGCCCTGCCTCGGTGCTCCCTCCTCTGCCCATGGATGCATTTTTGAGTGAGCCCAGGCCATGGGGTCTTTCCATGGCCATTATACATCACGTTGTCACTGTAAGTGACAGAGGGGCAAGCTCAAATATTTCTGATTGAAGCATTGCCTGAATACGAGGTAGGTGAGGACAGCATATTTTTAATAAGGAAACTAGGGCTGATAAAATTGTTGAAAATCTTTTTCTTCTTCCTGCACCACTTTTTATCAAGGCTATCATACCACATATCTCAGTACAAATCTGTCACTACTACCCTGACACAAGGCACAAGAACTCATCTTATTTTTAGAAGGTATTAGTAACAAAAAAAAAACAAACTTAAAAACACAAAAAACATCTACCATGTACTATAGACTTGTAAAAGAAAAATAAACCAATGTCAAAAGTCATTACCAAGTCTTCAGACTGTTCAGTTTGTTGGAAGTGGAAATCAGTTGAGGGTTCCTGATCACCATAGTAACACAACAAATCCAAGAGACTATTTGTTGTTTCAAGAGACACAGTGGTTCCTGTGGGTAAGAGATTAAAAAGGGAAAGAATCCTTGAAACACGCAAGAACTAAATCCTGTCAGATTAAAATTCATGTTTTGTATTAGCTGTGGCTTTCTTGGCTGCGTTACCCACCACTTTGTGCACTCAACATCAACGGAAACACCCGGAGAGATGGAGCCAGAGACACGATCCTTACTAACCATGTGATCTGCCATAAAAGATTAAAACACTAGATGAAGTCTGTCCTGTGCTCATTTAATTTATGCTCATATCCTTAGAGGAACGATCTCACAGTTATAATGACCACAGCTCAACTGAGTCATCTGCAAACAGCCCCATGATTCCCTCAGCCGAATTATTCCACAAGCAGAATTATTCCACTGGGATCCAGACCCTCACTGAAAACTTGCCTAGAAGGTCTAGCATAATTGCCTAGCTATAGTAGCAGCCTTTTAACAACCATGGATCAAAACATTATGCTCCCACCTTGGTGCTCATTAAAAAAAAAAAATGGGGCTGAAAGGGCACGAGGAGAAGTATGAGGTATGATTGGCTATTTTAAACAAAGAGTAACTGCATTTTTCTAAACAAAATACACCAATAAATTAAAAACACTAAAATAAAACAAACACCAAACCCACCTCCAAAACAACAACGAAATGCCCACCAGGAAATGTAAAAACCCAGAACAGAAAGTAGAATGAAGAGGACACAGGCTATGGAGAACAACTGAATTGGGTCCCATCATCTCTGAGCTGTGAGATCCTGGAAAAATTACCTAGAGGTTTCCTATATAAAATTACTATAAACACCCTCAGTTTTAGGGTATCGTAGAAGTAAATTAAGTACGTGAAATGCCTATTCAGAGTGTTTCACACTTAGGGTTTGACAACAAAGTGTTCTGTAATCCCTTCCCTCGTGTGCTAGCTCACTGTTATGTGTCATGGCGCTAAAGTTCTGACACCTGTCTTCACTGAATGGCTGCACATACCTACACCAGAGAGTGAGTAAAACTAGAAAAAGACACGTCTTAGCACTAAGAACTTCAATGCAAACTCATCAGATGCTGATCATATCCAACAAGCAGAGGGAAAATTATAATCTGCTGCCATCATGCAGTAGATTATAATTTAACTCTTAAACAGTTTTCTGCAAACGTTTCTTGTGTTCAAGTGTACACTGTGTGATTCATTCCAGTTTCCGTCTCTTCCATGTTTCTCCTAAATCACCAAACAGCACTCTGTACTCTAAAAACTTGATAATGTCAGCTGCCCCTGATGCTGCTGTACATAATTCTCCTGGAAGCTTACGAGCCATGCTTGCTAGTTGGGCACTCCCAAAGTTTTTCAACCAGTCATAATTCAGAGAGTCATATCATTTTGGAGCTAGAAGTGTGAGAAATTAAGTAACTTTTTGAAGGCTACAAATGGTGTCAGAAATGACACCAGTATCAAAGCCCCTGATCCTAGTTTGGTACTCTTTCCTATCCTATCCTATCTCTTTCTCTCTCACTCTGATCTATCTACCCTACCCTACCCTATCCTTCCTTCCTATGTATGTATGTATGTATCTATGTATCTATCATCTATCTAATCTCTTACCCTGTTGCCTAGGCAGGAGTACAGTGGCACACTCATGGCCCCTGCAGCCTCGACCTACTGGGCTGTCTGTCTGTCTGTCTGTCTGTCTGTCTATCTATCTATCTATCTATCTATCTATCTATCTAATCTCTCACCCTGTTGCCCAGGCAGGAGTACAGTGGCACACTCATGGCCCCTGCAGCCTCGACCTACTGGGCTCAGGCAATCTACTCACTTCAGTCTCCCAAAGCATTGGAATGACAGGATGAGCCACCAAGCCCAGCTTAATTTTTTTAATTTATTGTAGAGAAGAGGTCTTGCCAAATAGCCGAGGCTGGCCTTGAACCCCTGGGCTCAGGCAATTCTTGTGCCTCTGCCTCCCAAAGTGCTGGGATTACAAGTGTGAGCCACGACACCTGGCCCTTTCCCTTTTTAAATATTTCTTGTCTGTTGTGGCCCTGCCTTTCAAACATACTTAAAGAATGCAGGAAATCTGAACACAGTATGTACACACCAAATGTTAACAACGGGAGCTACAAAGAATGGCTGTATCATTTCTCTACCAGTGGTATAGGCAGAGCACGACAGACCAACAAAGTTGCAATTCTATCTCACCTAAAATTTTTAAGTGTACCTAAAGCAGAACATAAAATATCATTTATTATACCATTACAAATATAAACAGCACAGCCATCAAAGCAGAAGTACAGCAGGACTTGGAATTCCACTCAAACTATCCGGATCATACCAATGTGGCCCATATCAAGGCCCCATTCCTAGAAAGGGTTTAACTGAACCTAGTCACCTGCTTGCAAAAGCTGATCAAATATGTCCACGGAGGCTTTGACTTTTTTGAGCCTGATTCGTTCCTTCAGGGCGGCTTCGCTGATGCCTTCAATCTGAGGTTCAAAGTACTCAGGCATTAAACACTAGAAAAACAAGATGGTTAAAGTTACCACAAGCAGGTGAAGGTGAATGGATAACCTAGTAGGATAAAATCTGTATCAACTCATTCAAATAAAACTTCCTTGCTCCAACTTATGTTTTCTGCACCAGATACCATTTATCACCTTAGCATGACTATCTTCATAGGCAATCTAACCCAAATCTTTCAGCCCTGATGCTGACTAGCCTCTAAATGTTCAATACTGTGCAAGGGAACCTCCTTGATTCAACTACTTCTTGGATGCCTACTGCTTTACCCCAGGCTTATTAAGCTAGGCACTGGAGACAGGGAGATGAAAGGCATTCTCCACCCTCAGGGTGCTCAGAATCAGGTAGAAACCTTGTGAGGAAATCATTATAATACAGCAGTAACAGTGGGGCCTCTGGCAGCAGGAAGGCTCCAGGCAAAGCCAAGAGTGACCCTGGAGGGAAGCACAGGAGAACAGCTGCTCATCAAAAACTAAAGGGGACAGGGCAGGCCGGCAAATGATGTTCCTCCACTGCCACTGTCTCAGTTCAGGATTTTAGTAATTGGACCCACACAGTCGCACTGGCTTCCTAACCTGTCACTAGGAGTTGCAGTGTGAAAATGAGAAGGGTGTGTGTGTGTGTACATGTGAGTTTTGGGATGCAGGGAGAGGCTGAGTGCGAGCATCTCCACTGATAGACACAGGAGGACAGAGGCACACCTGTTCTGCCCACTGCTGAACCGACAAGCATTAAGCAGAACATCACCACAGCAGGCACTACATAAATACTGCGTACCTATGGAACAGGTGGGAGCTGGAAACACAGTTTGGAGTTCAAGGTGGAGGATCTAGGCTAGAGACACATGAATGCCAAATGGAAGATAAGGGTCTCTGAAACAAGATGAGTGTAGGCAATAAAAAGAAAAAATAAGCATGGAAACCTAAGGAAGATACCAGTGCTTAACAAGACAGAGAGCTAGGGAAGAAAGCTGGGAAGGAAGAGTCACAGAGGAACACAGTTAAAGACACAGGAGCATGGCATCCCAGACACCCAATGGGGAAAGACAACCAAGAGCAAGGATATACAAAAGGAATCTTAAAAGGTCAGTATTGTGAGCAAAGGTAACTTCACACTTCAAAAGACTTTTCATCCAAATATTGAAGCTATTCAGATAGCTACTTAAATATTAACCATGAAAGCCTGATTTAATTTACATTTATACAGTATCACGTAAAAAAATCCAACTGTCTTTCCTTACCGGTATATGAGGTTCAGCTATGTCCTTCTGAAAATATTTGGGATGTGAATTAACAATAAACTTTGCTGCATTCTCCCCAGACTTCTTTGCCAATAAAAATGAACGCTATATAAAGAAAAAGATTTAAGATACAAATAGATATCTACATGTACTTTAGAATCAAGCAAGATCAAAATTATACTCTTAGCAACAATTATTCTCTCCTCACAAAAGAGTGCAACAATACACAGAATCCCAATTAGAAATTAAATTACACCATATTCCATGTCTTCTACTGAGTGCAACATAATTTCAGATGATATGTTATAATATAGCCTGAAGTATATAAAAAGTAACACATTTAAATGGAGTGAGTCACTTCAGTGTGAAAAATCCCTAAGTATTAAAAACTAAAACCCAAAACCTTCTCCTCAGACAATAAGTAAATCTTCTTGATATAAGTAGTAACAGGGCTCACATCTGTAATCCCAGCATTTTGAGAGGTAGAGGCAAGAGCCCAGGGGTTCAAGACAAGCCTGGACAACATGGTCAGATCCCATCTCTAAAATAAGTCAAAAAAATTAGCTGGGTGTGGCAGCACACACCTACAGTTCCAGCTACTTGGAAGGTTGAGGCGGAAGAAACACCTGAGCGCCAGCCTGGGTGACGATGAGACTCTTAACTCAAAAAAAAAAGCAATAACACATCCACAAAGTCTATACATTTATTTATCAGCACCTGTAAACTTTTCAAAGACTTTTTACAACTAAACTGTAAATGTACTCTTACACACAAATCAACAAGATAAAAATACTAGAAAAGTTACATGAAAATACTCAGCCGGGCTTGGTGGCTCAGCCTGTAATCTCAGCACTTTGGGAGGCTGAGGTGAGTGGATTGCCTGAGCCCGCAGGTTCGAGACCCACCTGGGCCACTTGGCGAGACCTCATCTCTACAATAAATCAAAAATTAGCTGGGCGTGGTAGCACGCGCCTGTAGTTCCAGCTATTTGGAAGGCTGAGGTGGAAGGATCGCCGGAGCCCAGCAGGTTGAGGCTGCGGTGGCCGGGAGCGGCCACTGCACTCCAGTCTGGGTGACAGAGTAAGACTCCAACTCAAAAAAAAAAAAAAAAAAGAAAAAGAAAATACTCACAGATTCAAGGGAAGATGTTGGTATAAGGTAAGGATCATCTTGAAATGCATAAGGTACAGCCGTGGTGTCCTGTGGAGAGGACACAAATCTCTTTACTCGAATTTTAATAAGAAGACTTTGTGATAATCAAAAATTCTGTTAAGTTTTAGTTATGTAACATACATGCAGAAATATGTATGCGTATGCATATACATTTATGTATGGGGATGGGGGAGAGAACGAGAAGATACAAACATCAATACTTGTTCTATATTCTCAGCTCTGCAAGATTTGCCTATAATTATGAAAAATTTAAAGCAAGCAATGGCTCAAATCCCCTTGGCTGCTTCTTAAGATTTGAGTCTGCTATCACTGGGGACTACTGCTATTTTAAACTCTAGGTAAGAATCCTTGAAATTAACTAGTCCTGGCACCAGTATCCTGGAATACTGCCTAGTCACTGTCTTTCCATGTCTAACTCCATCCAAGAATCTCTCCTCCAAAGGGAGGATGCTACTGACCTCTCTAGAGATGTGAACGGCAGCAGCTTCTCCCATGTCCTGACATCCAAGGTTCTGCACTTCTTAAAATTGCTCCTTATACCTGAGCATAATCAACTCTCCAGCACTAACAAGGGCCCCACTTAAACTGCCCCAGAATTACTTCCTCTAGTCCTCTCCTCTGCCTCTGTGTCCCTTCCCTGGGCCTTCTGTGGCCTTTGTTCCACAGTTAAAAACTCACCACATTTTAAAAATAGAATAAAATAAGGCCAGGCGCACTGGCTCAAGCCTGTCATCCCAGCACTTTGGGAGGCCAGGGCAAGAGGATGGCCTGAGCTCAGGGGTTCGAGACCAGCCTGGGAAACTTGGTGAGACCTCGTCTCTACAATAAATCAAAAAATAAGCCGAGCATGGTGGCTTGTGACTATAGTTTCAGCTACCTGGATGGCTGAGGTGGGAGGATCACCTGAGCCCAGCAGGTTGAGACCACGGTGGCCATGAGCGTGCCATTGCACTTCAGCCTGGGCAACAGAGTAAGACTCCGACTCAAAAAAAAAAAAAAAAATTAATACAATAATTAAAAAAATAAAAACTCACCCAAATCCTGAATCTTCTCTGACTGCAACCCTGATGTGTGATCTTACTGACCTGGTCTCTCCTGGGGGCAGAGTTTCCCTGCGGTTCTCAAGGAAAAGCTGCTCATCCCTGGAAGCAGTATTTTTTTTTTCATTTGGTCCTAGCTTTCTGCCACCATTTCAAAACCCCTAACCCGCTAGCTGTCCACCCTCCTCAGGTGAGACTCGTTTCATTTGGCTGCACCCCTCTCTACCAAGATATGGGGGACATGGAGAGGCAAGCTGAAACCAGTTCCAGGTTAACTGTTCTGGACGACTCCCTGACTCCACTCCAACTGCCTCCTGGCTCTGGTCCTCACCACCACCTTTATTCAGACACCTGTGAGGGCCTCTATTTTTGGTGAATGCTGAACTCCTCTTAGCTTACCAGACTCATTCTTTCTGTTTGTCTCCCAATTTTCCTCTTTTGGTGACTTCTACTAAGTCCTTCTCCAAAAACAACTTCTCTGGCCTCTGAAAAACAACTTCTCTGGTCTTCCCTGTAGCTCTTACGCCTCAACCAAATCTGTCCCTAAAGTGAACTTCCCTAAGGACTCACTAAGAAGATTTTGTGAGTTTAAACTCCACTCACTATCTCAGTGTACAGCACACACCACTGTGCATCCAACCCAAAGATCTTCTCCCACCGTTTCTATTCAACTCATCTGTCATCAGGTTCAGACAACTTAGCCTTCATGGTCCCTAACTACTCCATTCTCCCTTATGCCAACTGCCATTGCCTTTCTTATTCATTCATTCAGTATTTATTGAGTGCCTCATACACGGAAGCGTTATTCTAACTACCAGCGAGGCAACAAATATCCCTGCTCTCTTGTAAGCTTACAATCTAGTGAGAAACAAATCCCCAGAAAATAAATAATAAAATATATAGTACATTAAAGGGAAATAACTACTTTGAAGAAAAATGAAGCAGAGAAAGAATCAAAAAGAGATACTCAATTCAAATAAGAGTCAGGCAAGGCCTCACTGAAAAGGTGGTATTTAAGCAAAAACTTAAGAGGTGAGGGAGCAAGATGCATGGATATCTGAAGGAAAGCAATTCCAGGCAGAAGGAACAGCAAATGCTAAAGCTGTGGCAGAGGCATGCTTGCTGAGAAATCGAGAAACAGTCAGGGGGTCAGTGTGGCTGAGCAGAGTAAGCAAGTGACACAGAGGCAGATGTGGACAGAGAGGTAAGGGGACAGACCCAGGTAGGCCTTACGAGCCTGGCATGATCTTCAGCTTTTATTCCAACTACAATCACGAGAAGCTGCTTCTGAATTCCACAATCACTATAGCCGCTGAAGTGGGAGAGGGCAGAGACTACTGCAATTAACCCAGCTCCTCTAGGAAAGGACTCTAGGAAGCTTATGCCTGGTGTCCTCTGGGTGTCATGTGCCTTTTCCCTTTGCTTGATTTTGCTTTGTCTCTTCTTGCTGTAATAACTCTTAACTGTGAATACACCGAGCAAATCACTGAACCTGGGAGTAGTCTTGGAGACTCCATGCATATATTTTGAAGGGAGAAACAAAGGTTTTACTAACATGAAGTAGGACAGAAAGGGGAGCCAGTGACAACTCCTAGGATTGTGGTCTGAGCAGCCAGAAGGATGGAGGTGTCATTAATAAGACAGCCAAGAAATGTGTGAGGAGTTGGTTTGGAGGCAAAAGGGTCTGGTTTTAGACATGTTAAGATTTTTACCCCACTTTCAACTAAAAAGGTTTCCCATTCTCCACAATGCTGTCTTTTCTAAAATTTCCCTGATTATGTCACTTCCCTGCTTAGAATTCTTCCATGAACTTGGATAAAAATCAGAACTCCCTAGCATGGCATTCATGACATTGCCTCATCTCTATATCCCTTAAATCTTTGATTCCTACCATACCAGACCACTCGTTCTATACCTTTACATGTCTGTTCCTGATGCCACCCCTGCTGGGAATGCACTTTCACACCACTGTATTCTTGCTTTTCACCTTGCCATCATCACTCTAATTGTCAACATTCCTGAACGTCGTTTCCCAGCCTGAGTGATATACCCCCTTCTCAGTGCTACTTCAGTCTTCCCTTACGGAACGATGTAAGGACTATGCCTAAATTCTAATCCAGCACTTGGAAAGCTTTGTGAGGATACAATATATGACTACCAAATGGATGGCTAAATGTCTGCCTCTTGACTTTTCAGGTCTAAAACCCAGGTTAAGTCAGACAATTCAACATATAAATCCACAATTTCTTTTACTTTAAGGTGGTCCTGAGCCATTCTCATCAAAACCCTGAGAACACTCAGAGGCCCACTTCTGTGGTTTGCATTTCAGGTACCCGTCTATGGATAAGTGAGCTGCTGAAATTCTCAGTTCTTTCCAAGCAGGGAGGTGCAGTATTAAAAACGTATTTTCAGAAACTGGCAGAGTACCAGTGCACATCTGGCCCAACATCATCTTCAGTGGTTCCATCAAGATATAATTTAACATCTACAACAGAAGAACAATTCTGCATATTTGTGACAAATGATTTAAGAAGGGTCAGTATCCACACAGATGTTGTACCCGGAAAAAAAAACTTAATTATTTTAGACTTTCTTCCACACAGTTAAAAACAAGTATAACAGTAGTTTCTGCTAATTAAAAATACAAACAGGCTGGGTACAATGGCTCATGCCTGTAATTCCAGCACTTTGGGAGGCTAAGGTGGGAAGATCATTTGAGCCCAAGAATTTGAGAAAAGCCTAGGCAACATGGTGGCACACACCTGTAGTCCTAGCTACTTAGAAGGCTGATGCAGGACAACTGCCTGAGCCCAGGAATTTGAGGCTGCAGTGGGCCATGATTGTGCCACTGCACTCCTGCCTGGGTGACAGAGTAAGAACCAGGAAAAAAAAAAAAAAAAAGGAAAAAGAAAAGAAAAATACAACCAAGCAGAAAGTTCCATTTCTTATGCATTTACTGAAGTTTCAGTATGTCTACCAGATGACCTGTTCTTGAGTTTTCAATGGAGCAAATTTTATGCCAATAATGAAATCAACAAGACAGTGGTAGTAATAATAAAATAGCTATCATGTACCGAGTATTTCCTTTATAACAGACGCTGTCCTAAATGCTCTTGTGTATACTTAACTCACCCCAACCTTGAGGTCTGGTGCTATAATTAACTCCCATTTTATAAACCAGGAAACAAAAGCATTAAAGCAAAGTAACTTAACTAATACCACAAAGTTAGCTGCTTGGCTTTAAAACAAAACCCTGGGCTCCAGGACCCACGTTCTTCACCACTGCATCACTGCCAGCAAGACATTATTTCTTAAAGTTGGCATGCAGGTCACCTGCTATAGTTACCACACCCAAACCACTCCCAGGGAAAAAGCGTTCCAACAAGCTCTTCCAGGATTAAAGATTACTGGTATGGTATAAAAACACTGCATTCAGAGACAGAAAACATGGAACTAAGCCAAGGTTTTAACATTCTAACCAGCCTAACTTGTCACTTTAAAAATCTTAGTTTCCTGCAACGTCAATCTCACTATCCAAAAAAGCCAAATTGTGGCAGGACTCCTTTCTGCAGAAACGTGTGTGTATACTTATGTGTGTGTATGTGTGAGTGTGAATATATGTCTATGTGTACATATGGATTTACATATATGTAAAGTATATGTGTGTGTGTGTGTGTGTGTGTGTGTGTGTGTGTGTGTGTGTGTGTGTATATATATACACACACACACACATATATATGTACGAAACCCGCATGGAATTATCTGTATGAAATCAAGGTGAGCTGTGAAAACAGTAATTCGCCCAGTTTAGTGGGGGTAGGGTACGCGGCCAGACAAAGTCACCCAGCTTTTGTTCACACCAGAGTCATACGTTGAGCTACTGACAAACTCAGGCAGAGGTGACCATGCCCTTCACCAAAGCTGCCTCCAGTGGCCACCCGGAACTCCCTGTTGAACTTGCCTGGGGAAGGGGGCTCCAGAATGGCCAGTGTGGGCATGTGCTTGCCAGGCCCGGGGCTGCGAGGTCTGCCCGCTGAGATGCCCCTCAGGCTGGCCCAGCTGCTGACCTTGCCACAGGAGAGGAATGTCCTGGAAGCTCTAGGCAGGGACAAGAGGGTCTCCTCAGCCCCCCATCTCCTTCCCTTCCCAGGATTCCTCTTGATCTCATGACCATTAAAATGTTGGTCTGGTTCTAAGGTCAGTCCTGAACTGGTCGTGTATATGAACTGAAGGTAACAGAAGTATTAAGGGTCTGAGGAGCGCGTGTGTGAGTGGCTCATGGCTGTGCGCGTACGTGAGTGTGCTAGTGGGTGTGTACATGCGTGCGTGTGCTTGTGGGTAGGGGAGAATGGGAGGGGGCAGGAGAGGCTGGAAGGGAGATGAAGGAGAGAGAGCAGTCCTCTTAGGCCAGGGTATGACTGGGAGCAGGCTTCTCCAGCTGGTGGGAGCTGGACAGAGGAGACACTACAACAGAGAGGAAGAGCCTGGGTGTGGCCATAGCGCCCTGACTGTGCTTGGCCTTGCAAGAACAGGGTCTGGCCTGATTAGTACTTGGGGGGCGGAGGGGTGGCCTGGCTCAGGGAAGGTGGCTCTCACAGTGAGGTATGTGGAAAAAAGACTCAGGTGTTTCTGGGTTCCCGGCTCAGGCCTTCTTCACAAGGGACCCACCAGGCCTGTATCTGGTAGCATGGGGCACCCGCTGGTGCCTCAGTCCAGGCATGTCTCCATGGCCAGACCCCAGCTCCTGAGTACAGGGACAGCTCTTTTCCTCCTCCTGGCCCCCGTGTGTGATAGTGTATTTAATGTGGTTTTTTAGTTCTTCATTCTCAGCCTTTGAGAATAGTTTCAGATTCTTGTATTTGCTTGTTTTATATAAAACTACCCAATGTTCTTTGTAAAAAGAAAAAAAAAAGAAAAAAAAATCTTAGTTTCCTCACTTGTCAAAGGAAAGGACCGGATAAGCTTAAAGAAACTTTCTAGAGCCACAACAGTCTAATACTGAATAGTGAAGCAGCATGAATATTAAATGTGCTATTAGCCAAGTTAAAAACCTAAACGTGTGACTTACCCTGTGGACTGTGGATGCAAGCGCTTGAAGAACAGCCACTTTATCCCTGAGAACAAGAATCACAAATTAACCCTCATGGGGGGGTGGGGGGCTCTCTCCAGTCAGTGAACAAGAGTCTCTAGGTTTGGACCTCATGTAGATCCGGTTCTCTCAAGGTCACTAGAATAAGTCAGAGGCTGAGAAACTGTCTAGTTCTTCTGCTGGAAGGCAGCTAGTACATGCTCCCCTCTGCTTTGCCTACGCTCTCTGACCTATTCTTAATATCACTTTGCCGGATGCAATGGCTCAAGCCTGTAATCCCAATACTTTGGGAAGCTGAGGCAAGAGGAACGCCTGAGTCCAAGGGTTTGAGACCAGCCTCTACAATAAAAAAAAAAAAAAAAATCAAAAAATTAGCTGGGCTTGGTGGCACGTGCTACTTGGAAGGCTGAGGCTCCACTCCAGCCTGGCAGACAGAGTGATACTCTGACTCAAAAAAAAAAAAATTACCGTCACTCAGGGATAGTGGTTTCCACCCTCATCTCATAAAACTATCCTGCTTACTTCTCCTATTCACTTTCCTATGGATTCTTACTGCAGTTTTCTAGACTACTCTTGCCTTTACTGTCTAAATTAGTGGCTGTCAATTCAGTTACATGAGAATAAAAGGCAGGCTTCATTCTGGACCTACTGCATTACAGCCAAGATCCACAGAGGACTGTCACACGCATCCGTCCTGAATTCCCCGATGATTCTGATGTGCCCTCCTGGGTTTAGAAGCACTCATTTGCAGGCCAGCTGTCCTTTGGGTAGAGACATTGACTAACTACTGGAAAAGGTTTCAGTGGCATAAATGACAAACAAGATACTTCTATTTCAAATGTATTGCTCGTCCTACGTTAGATTCAATGTGTTTCATTTCCAAAAGGGAATTACAGTAAATTTAGTAAACCAAGAGTATTTTTCTAAAAAAATTTTAACACAACATTCCTGAGAATATAAGTCATTTGAGAAAGAAAAAAAAATTACAGGAAATTTTATATGACATCAAAAATTGATTAATTCCTTGATATATATAATACACAATGAATTTTCTATCCATTTTTACAAATCATATTTATGTCATTTCAACAAGTGTGGTAAAGGCACTTTCTCTCATCTCCCAGCTTCCCTAACTAGATTTTATATTAGTATAGTTAAGTTTACCAAGTCAGCATAACTTTCTAGCATACTGAACAAATGCCAGTGAAAAAATTACAACAGATTACTCACTATTTTATTTTTTTAAAGGGTTACTTTAAAAAAAAAAATCACAATAAATATATCATATTAGGCCAGACGTGGTGGCTCACGCCTGTAACCCTAGCACTCTGGGAAGCTCAAGTGAAACGCCTGCCTGAGCCCACAGGTTCAAGTCTAGCCTGGGCAACATGGTGAGACCTCATCTCTACAATAAATCAAAATATTAGCTGGGTATGGTGACACGTGCCTGAGTTCAACTACTTGGAAGGCTGAAGTGGAAGGACCACCTGAGCGCAGTAGGTCAAGGCTACAGTGGCCGTGAGCGAGTCATTGCACTCCAGCCTGGGCAACAGAGTGAGACTCCAACTCAAAAAAAAAGTATATATATATATTATATATATATATATATATACACATATAATATATATATATATATATGTGTATATATATAAATAATATAAACTCTAACATTACAGGTTAAGCTGGTGTCCAGTGTCATCTTGTGATTCAACCTCCCCATGAATTTAATATTTACATTTTCAGAACTTTTTAAGATACTTTTACACTCTCTCCATTAAATAAAAAGCATGTATACTGTCATTCTGCCTATGTGTTTACAAAAACTTGATTGCACTATCCATGTTATTACATGTAGAACTAATTAATTCTAACCCTAACCCTAAGCTAATTTAACTTAATGTTAGTTTTTGTATGAGAACCATTTTTATTACCCATTCACTTTCCAATGAGCATTTAGGCTGTTTCAAGCTGTTACTATTCCCAAGTTATAAAGAACATTCTCATTCACATCTCTTTAGGATATATGCAAGCATTTCTCCAAAGCAGCTAACCAGTAAGGTATGCCCATTTACAATTCTGATTCTGTCAAATTTCCCTCCAAAGAGTTTTTGCAATTTACTGTCCCATCAACAAAAATATTTGAGCACTTTTCCTTGCCACATCCTCTTCTTGCCAACTGGTTGGTTAGTTTTAATTTACGTTTCTTTTATGATCCCAGTTACCTATGCACTATTTGCAAGTGCCCTCCCTAAAATAATTACACCATCATACCATTCAGACTAAGAAAGACTTTTCTTTTTCTTTTTCGAAAACAGCACAGGGGTCTTTTTGCACCTACTATGCTGCGAATTCACAAGAACAGGGCCCGGCAGTTCCGGCTCCTTTCCACAGCTTCTCACTAAGTGTGCTTCTCTGGCGCAGCAGGCTGGTGCTTCAGTGGAACCCAGGCGCCTTTCTCTTTGGCTTACTTCTTTTTCTGATCATTTTTCTTTGCACATTTCAGAAAGCTCTCTTGACTCTTAAAGTTGTTAATATTCTCAATACACACAATAAGTCTCTTGGCTAGAATCTTACCCTCACCTTTTTTGGTTAAAAACAATGCCAACAGCACGCTAGGTAACACTGTAGACTCTTTCAGTTTTCCCACGATAACGTTCCTGGGGCATGAAGGCCTAAAGAGCACATATTGGGTGCTTTTCCTCTTTCCCTTTGTGTTTGCCACTTTGGAAAGTGACTGGAAGATAGCGGCTCCAGTCAAAAGGTTATTATTTTTTAATTTTTTGCAGCAATGAAGTCTCCCTATGTTGCCCAGGCTGGTCTTGAACTCCTGAACTCAAGTGATCCTCCTGCCTTGGCCTCTGAAATGCTGGGATTATAGGTGTGAGCCACCGCACCTGGCCTAAAAGGCTTTTCTTTCTTTCTTTCTTTTTTTTTTTTTTGAGTCAGAGTCTCACTCCGTCACCCAGGCTGGAGTGCAATAGCATGCTCACGGCCATCCCAGCCTCGACCTGCTGGGCTCAGGCGATCCTTCTGCCTCAGCCTTCCAAGTAGCTGAAACTACAGGCCCGCACTACCATGCCCAGCTAATTTTTTATTTATTGTAGAGAAGAGGTCTTGCCAAGTTGCCCAGGCTGGTCTCAAACCTGCAGGCTCAGGTAATTCACTAGCCGTGGCCTCCCAAAGTGCTGGGATTACAGGCTAAGCCACTGAGCCCAGCCCTAGAAGGCTTTTTAAAAGAATCTGAATCTTTAGGTCACACTCCAAATTCTAAGTCCTGCCTTTTAAATAGTCAATATTATATTACAACAAGCACTTTTGCAAATTTTAGTTCTTACATATTCAATAAATGTTAAATAAATGGGATTAGGCTACTTGTTCAAGGATCTATAGTGAATAAAACAGTTCAATTCTGCAGCCCACACCATGTACTTTATTTGACCTCATTATAGATCACTAAGATAATAACTTTGAGCCTGGCTCAGTGGCTCAGCCTGTAATCCCGCGCCCTTGGGAGGCTGAAGTGAGTGGACTGCCTGAGCCTGCAGGTTCGAGACCCGCCTGGGCAGCGAGACCTCATCTTTACAATAAATCAAAAAATCAGTCGGGCCTGGTGGTGCATGCCTGTAATTCCAGCTACTTGGAAGGCTGAGGCGGAAGGTTCGCTGGAGCCCAGCAGGTTGAGGTTGCGGTGGCCGGGAGTGGCCACTGCACTCCAGTCTGAGTGACATGAGACTCCAACTCAAAAAAATAAAATTAAAAAAAAAAAGATAATAACGTTGTCTGGTCTCCCAACCATGTGAGAGAGAACTTTTTTAAAAAAAGAACACATTGTTCTAATAACAATGTCCATGTTTAACCATTACTATATAAGTCTCCACCCATTCTTAGTTCAAGTAAATCTCCTGTCTCATTCATTCTCTACTCTCCACCTTTCTCTTTTTTGTCCTCTGAACTCCCCAGCCTTCCCCGTTCAGCATTCTCTGTTCAACAATGCTCTCCCATCATTCTTCCTGTACCTAACCTTTGTTTCCTCACAATAAGCACTCCAACACTTGCTGAACGAACACTGACAGATTACTCACCACGTTTTCTTTTTTGGAATTATTACTTCTTCAATCCCTTAACGTAAAAAATAAAATATCATGAGTCAGTTTTCTAATACTACAACTACAATGGAATACAACGTGTTGACATAAAAATGTAATTATATCAAAAGATTTTTTAAAATTACCTGCTCCATCAGTTCCCTCAACCTTTGGGAGGGCTTCACTTTCAGAATAAAATCTGCAAAAATTAAAAGGCGTAAAAAATACTCATTAATAAAATTCCAAGCTTACCTCCTTTTCACTAAAATTTTTAAATTATGGATTGTATTACTCATGTCAATGTATGCTCAGAAGACATGGCCTACAAAGCATGTTCAATACCATTACAGAATAGATACAAGATATAGACACAAGACAGTCAAGACTTTTTGAAGCAAGCAATCTCATCACATAAAATCATGGGGGAAAAGGAAATTTTTAATAGCACTTAGCAATCTGAACTGCTGGTTTGAAATGCAAGAGACTTGTTCTTTTTCTTTTTTTTTGAGTGTCACTCTGTCGCCCAGACTGGAGTGCAGTGGCACACTCCCAGTCACCGCAGCCTCGACCTGCTGGGTGCCAGTGATCCTTCCGCCTCAGCCTTCCAAGTAGCCAGAACTACAGGCATGCACTACCACACCCAGCTAATTTTTAATTGATTGTAGAGACGAGGTCTCACCAAGTTGGCCAGGTGGGTCTCAAATCCTCAGCTCAGGCAATTCACTGGCTAGTGTTACAGGTGAGCCCGGCTTTGAAATGCAAGAGACTTTCAACTTCGGGGACTTAAAACTACTATTAGGTTAATCAGAACATCTTAGTGAGTTCCTGCTTTTTATAGATAGCACCCTGATAGGAAATGCCTGCCTCACTTAAAGCAACTATAAAAATCTGAAGATCAATCATGGCTTTTCATTTCACTTTCTTCAACAATCAGGAATGTACCAAATATATTATGGCCTAATTTAGACTTGGAATTATAGATATTTTCCATTTTCAGAGGTTCAACTATAAAATTATTTTTTGCTCAAAATACAGAATATTTGGCCCTCAACTGAGTTTTAAAATGTTCTGATGATACTAAAAATATAGTTAACACACCAGATACGATGATGACTAATATTATGTGTACTCCCCCTTCTAAATGGCATCAGTACCATTCAGAAAATGGTCAAGACATGATTACACAGAAAAATGCTGCCTCAGGCCAGGCGCAGTGGCTTACTCCTGTAATCCCAGCACTTTGGGAGGCGGAGGTGAGAGGACTGGCTGAGTTCAGGGGTTCAAGACCAGCCTGGGCAACTTGGCAAGACCTCACCTCTACAATAAATCAAAAAATTAGTCAGGCATGATGGCACACGCCTGTGGTTCCACCTACTTGGAAGGCTGAGGCAAAAGGATGGCCTGAGTCCAGTAGATCGAGGCTGCAGCGGCTGTAAGTGTGACACTGCCCTTCAGCCTGGGTGACAGAGAGATTCCTTAATCCAAAAAAAGAAAAAAGAAAGAAAGAAAGAAAAGAAAAAGAAAAATACTGCCTCCACTAATTTCTGGTGTCACTTTTTTTTTGAGTTGCGGTCTCACTCTGTCGCCCAGGATGGAGTACAGCGGCAAAATCACAGCTTACCATAGCCCCAACCTCCCAGTCTCAGGCAATCCTCCCACCTCAGACTTCCAAGTAGCTGGGACTACAGGCACATGTTACCACTCATGGCTAATTTTTTTTCTTTTTCCTTTGTAGAGACAAGGTTTCGCCATGTTGCTCAGGCTGGTCTTGAACTCCTGGGTTCAAGCAATCCTCCTGCCTCAGCCTCCGAAAGGGCTGAGATTACAAGCATGAGTTACTCCACTAGCCTCACACATCATTTTAAAACAAGAATATGTCTCTCTGCTAAGGGCAGAAAGAGAGCAACTCTCAAATCACACTATTTCTCATGACACTAAAAGAGATCACCGTAGTCTTGAGGATAAATGCTGAGGGAGAAATTCTGCTGTAAAGAAAAGAAAATTGGTAGAAAAGTGCCAGTAATGGGAACTATCAGGAAAAGAAGTACTGGGACTAAACAGAGGCATAAAGACTTCAGCAGTACCAAGTGTTATGTTTTCTATTTATGGAGGGAAATTGAGGTTAAGTACATATAAACATATTTTGTAGCCGGGCATGATGGCTCACACCTATAATCCCAGCAGTTTGGGAGGCTGAGGTGATAAGACAGCCTAAGACCAGCCTGTGCAACATGGCAAGACCTCATCTCATTCATTCATAAATTAATAAATAAGCTGGGCGTGGTGTCACTACTTAGAAGGCTAAGGCGAAAGCCGGGTGCGGTGGCTCACGCCTATAATCCCAGCACTTTGGGAGGCCAAGGTGAGAGGATTGCCTGAGTCCACAGATTTGAGACCAACCTGGGCAACTTGGCAAGACCTCATCTCTACAATAAATCAAAACATTATAGCCAGGCATGGTGGCGCATGCCTGTAGTTCCAGCTACTTGGAAGGCTGAGGCAGAAGGATCGCCTGAGCCCAGCAGGTTGAGGCTGCGGTGGCTGGGAGCGTGCTATTGCCCTCCAGCCTGAATGACAGAGTGAAACTCCGACCCCTAAAAAAACGTTTTTGTAAATTACACATCTCACTTATTACTCACAAATTTTTCAAACGGTTACCACCAGCTCCAGTCCACAGATGAGAAAATTTGCCTACTATGATCTAACTAAGGGAATGGCAAATGCTGAATCTAAAATAAGGTTTTCCTCAAATTTTCACTGCACATTATTGCCTTCACATTTCCGCAACCAGTGTTCGTACTGAGAGAAAGAAAACTGACATAAACAGAAGATACATATTCTAAGCCATAAATATCATAGATCCAAAAGCCCTAGTCAGACCTTTCAGACTTTTCTGCTTTTAGAAAACCCGAAGGCTTCTTTGGCCAAAAAGTCTCCACAGTGGCGATCACAGACTGTCTTATATTTGGGAAAATCTTATGAGTTCTCCCCGTTCCTCCAGATTGGATAAAATTAGTACAGGCGGATTTTTTTTTAATTTGAAGTAGGGATGCTAATAACCACATTCAATGGAATGTAAACTTCACGAGAGCAGGGTCCCAGTTTTCTGGGAAATTCTAACGCCATATTATTATTGCAAGCAACCAATGAATTTCTCGCCAGTGAATAAATGCACTTCCAATCCTATTTCAAGGCACCGGCGCCGCGTGCTAGGGCTTCCCGCAGACGACCACGAGAGCGCGCATGCGCACACTACTGCCTCGTACCCAGTTCCCCAGCTTTCAGGGAAACAGAGGACTAAGCTGACTCTGCAGTTCTCTCCGTGGATCTCCCAAGCTTCTCTTACCTGCAACTGGGTGCTTGTTCACACAGACCTGCTCGCCTACCTGTCAGCGGCAGACTAAACCTGAGGCGCACCCCCAGCCAGCGAATAGACGACACCGCCGCCATCTTTGACTTCTTCGCAGAGCATGCTGGGAAAGCCTGCCCTGGACCTACAGCATGGGCGGAGCAAGGTGGGCGGGGAACAACTCAGTTATTGGCTGAGGCCGAACAAGACGAACCCAATCACGAAATGGAGGGTGGCAGGCTCACGAATGGAAAGACTTTATTACAGAGATGAAAGGCTCAATACGCCTCATTTGTCCCAAAGGCATTTTTCTAAATGACTATTTAATGTCTTATGTGTGTTTTCCAAATAAGAGAGTGAGTTCAGAGTCGTACAGTTGCTTTCCTCCCCCCCACAGCAAAAGTGATCTCGTCCACGCCAGTATTCTCGCAAGCGCCTCCCGCGCGCAAGCACAGCTTGAATCACATGGTGGATCCTGGCTTGAGGCTGGATTCAGAGCTCGCCGGTGCCGAGTGGGCTACCTCGCTGGGTGTCAGAATTTAGATCCGACCTGCAGGATGTTGGTCTCCAAGAACACGCCCTGGCGGCGGCTGCGGGGCATTTCCTTCGGGATGTATTCGGCCGAAGAGCTCAAGTAAGGAGTCTGTAGGAAACGTGCCCGGCCAGGTTTTTGCTGTCGGCCCCCAAGACTACCGTTCCCAGAAGCTCTTGCGCCAGCCTGTCCGCGGAGCCTGTGGTTGTCCGGCGCATGGCCTTCTGGGATCCGTAGTTCTGGGGACGTGCCTGGGCCGGCGTGCGTCCCTAGAATCCAGTGGGGTAGGGGGAAGAGTTTGCACTGGGGATGGGGGGGTGTCCCGCTCTTTAGCAGGCTTTTGTGGAGTTGCCATGTTGTCCTTGACACAGCTATTGTCCCCTAGAAGTTTCACTACTTTCATAATTGATCGTCTCAAATTTAAATCTTCAACCCAGATATATTTTCTTGACTTTGAGACTCATTTATTCAGCTGTGGTAGTCATCTTCACTTGAATTTCACACAGAGATCTCAAACTCGTGTATCAAAAACTCAACATGTAACCCTCCCCCCAAAAGGAGGGGAACTTCACCCTCCAAAATAGTGTACCTAGTCAGTGACTTGAAGCTGGGAAATCTAGATCGCTCTCTCTCCTGATATGTGATTTATTTACTGCGTTCTTACCATATGTGTGTCACCTATGTATGTATTTGTTCCATACATTTCTTTTTATCCCAGTTGCTACTGCATTAAATCCAACCCTTATCTCATGTTTGAATTGTCTGTTCCTTCCACCAAGCCCCTCCTTAAACTTGTCCGATTCATCCTTCACATTGCTGTCAAAATTATTTTCGGGACGCAGTGACTCAAACCTGTAATCCCAGCCTTGGAAGGCCAAGGCTGGAGGGTTG